CTACTTAGGTCGGTACCTCTATTCAGCATGTTGCGGTCTAGACCAATGATTAAATGAGAGACAATGCAGCGTGAATCCAAACGTGATGCATGATTTCGCGCTATTCGTTACTTTGTCTCCCGTGAAGGGTGTCATGCTAAAACATGAGCAGACTCGAGAAGCCTGACTGACAGTATGGGCTTACTCTATCAACCCCATCGATTGGAATTTTTGGGATTCGCGGCCCCCTGTGGGGGCTTTCGGCACAGGTGACTAGAGCGTTGGCTGTACTAAAGCCTCCCCCTTATTGTCGTGGGTTCGAATCGCATCGAGGCGCAGAGATTTTCTCAGTTGGGTCAAAATGAACTTCTTTCGTCGTTTGAACAGTCTAAGTGGTCTTTAGATCAGCCCCAGCGAACAAGAGGCTTTGTTGTTTAGCCAGGGATTCAGGCTCAAACTAGCATTTGTACCACTTTACATCGACTGTACTTTGGGTCAACTTTCATCAGAGGACTGTTTTAGAGTTGTGAAAATTTCCGTGGAAGGATTCAGAAGACCAACTGGCTAGAATACGTGTGTTTTCGAAAAAATTTCATAGGGTCAGTACATTTATTCGAGAACGAGATGCAATCAAAATATGTGATCGATAAGAGAAACCGATTACAATTCGTTCTTTCATACAAGTGGGGTGTGGTAACAGGTAACGTTGATGACATGTTCACAATCGCCACCGCGGAAAAACAACATAGCTACCTTCTCAGATGCCGTATATCAGGCACAACCGTCGATCCAGTTTACGGTAGAGGTGGAAATGGCAGGTTCGCTCTCGTCCTCAAACGTCCTCCTAGGAAGAAGAGCCGGCGGTAGCGTTCGAATAGGCGTTTCTTGGAGTAAAACTTAGCCCGGATAATGTACGAACTCCTGTAGTTTCACACACCTTCAACAGAAATCCAGTCTGGTCCGTTGTTTGGCACAAAAAGCTAAGAAAATCCGCTCGGAAGACAACATCGACGAGGAATACAGGAAGATTTAGGACCTGCTTCGTGAGCATGGGTGTTACGACGAATTTATTGCAAAAAATATTATAAAACAATTACCAAAACCTATCACATTGATATAAAAGAGGTAACTCTACTTATACAAGTCTCTCTTCGACGGGAGGCAGCGAGTGAAATCCTGAGAAGACGCCTTGACCAGGCTGTTTCACCAATCGTTCAAATGACAAGAGTTCGGGTATTATTCCTGACAAACTCTGTCTTGCACGAAGAGAGTAGGGATAAGTTGCCAGCTCAGACCACCTCCATGTGCATTCACTCCCCTATTTACTCCTGTGGAGCAGATTATTTTTGTCCCACGAGTGGGTGCGTATCCAAAAGAAAATATGGACACCCGCCGGCGTGGTTGACAAAAAACGAAATTGAACGCATGATCAATACTTTTCTTGCACACATTGTGGATTTCGGTCACAGTGTAGACCCAAATAAAACCTTATGTAAGATTTACAGGGTCCCATTGAATGGCCCTCAGCCATTGAATTAGCGTCCGATAACAATGGCAGAGGCCACAGCCATCAAGTTACCAAAGCCGGTCTTTTGCACAAGGAGAACCCGGTACAAGCTCTAGGCCTGCCGTGGTCAAAGGTCGATTAAATTTGTACACTCCTTTGCGCCTTTCCCTCTTTCCCTCTAACTCTCACTGCCTTCTGACTCACTGGTTCTTATTCCTCCCTTCTGTCCCTACAGCCCACTTGCAGGAAAAGACGAACGGTAATCGATTTCTCTTATCACTTACATGCTTTATTTGTGCCTCCTTCCCATATACTGGCTCGAAAAGAACTAATCATAAGCGCACGCATGCCCGCGACTAGTCTTCTGAATTCAGCAAAAGTCTTCTTTCGACAGCGTAGAGTCAGGAGGTCTGCCGTTGAATTTCTTTGCCTTTCTTCCACTACCCTCTGAAGGACGTTTTGTCCGAGGGGACAACAGGTTTTTAAATTGTACTTTTTTAAACGAACCGATAATTATGATTTTTATGACAAAAGTAGTGTGATTGACTTTTTGATGATGAATGGCAAACAATGATTAAAATCTCGCCAAAGTAAATCACGATTTCAAGCAAATACGGATAATCTACTCGGGATGGCATTTGAAGGTGTAAGAAAAAACTCCTTAGGTATTTAGTCCTAAAGTATTGCAGAAATTCCTCGGACTAAGCCGTCAAAGCAGGGCAGCCAGAAAATTGTAGCCATTACGCGGCCTGAGTTTGCGTTTGGTGATTAACGAAATGGCTGCTAGGAACTCCCTGAAATCTGCCAACAGCTCGCCGGAGAGGCCGTCAATGGGCGGTGTTTCTCCATGAAAATTACGTATTACTGGAGACATTATAAAGACGGCTTGTCGTTTTACGCTATCGGAGTTTTTAAAGGCGGAAGTTTAAAGCTTTAAGCATCAATATTATAAAACACCCGAATTCCTAAGAAAAGGTGCGTCAGTCTGCGATCGTTGCCTACGCCAGATCCTGCCGTTAGGAACTGGTCGATAACTTCGGGTAGCTAGCGTTTGCTTGCAAGCTGTAATTATCTCGTTTATGGGCTTCCAACAACGGAAAAGATTGGTTTACCCTCCAGGCGCATGTTGAATAACGCCCTTCTGAACCCCGAAGTGGGTACTGTTTGCACCTGGACGCTCGATCCAAGTTCTGTAACACCCTGTCTACTGCAGAAGTCGCAACTCAGTGGAAAGGATCTCCTAACAGACTCCGCACCACCCGGGCACGTCATTTCGAAGGAAAAGGCTGCAAATGAACACAAAACCGTGCCCGAGGAGAGAGAAGGAGTGGACGCTACCGTCATAGCTCGCGGATGGCGAGTCTATCGTCTTATTTTTACCGGACTCAACAGTCTATGCATTTGCGTCTTCTCGATCGGTGCTCTAGAACTGTACGGTCGCATTCTTGGCGTTCATGATGAGGTGAGGGGAAACCCTTGTACGCGAATGTTTGCTTCCATTCGCGTTCCATTTCCTGACCAAGCCCTTGTTTTACTGTTCAGCTCAAGACCTCGGTATCTTAAAGCAGTTCATTCTCATCAGAAGTTTGGTCTTGGAGTATATGAAGTCCTTGGCAAAACATTTGACTGGGAGATATTTAAAAACCAGCTCAGTACACCACTCACTCACAAGTTATTTATTGACTAGGAAACAGGCGATAACAACTTAGATGTAGCTGCTCGACTTTTTAGTTGCATTATCTTGCTGTCTTCGCCTACATGCCACAATGTTTATCATGATCTTCATCCAACCAAATCCCTTGGCTCTAAGGATAGACCCACTGATTCAACAGCAAATTGGTCGGAAGATAAGCTTCCAATCTAGTATGTAAGTCTAAGTCTACCTCAGGTGTCGTTACGTTTGTCTTTTCGACGAGGAGACGGTCACTGAGACAGCTTTATCTCAGGTCTAGATTTTCGATCAGCATTTGCTGCCGTCCACCATCGGAGGTTGACGAATCCACTATGAGTGGCCAGGCCGCTGCTGCGGACGTTGGCATGCTTCCGGGAGCCTGTATGATTTTCTCTCCGAACATAACCAGGCAGGTGTTTCGAGACAGGTGCCGGGTAAGTCGCTGCATTCGGCCTCCCAAGGAAATGGGCGCCGCGCGTGACTTCCCCCCCCCCCTACAGGGTGTGTTTGCAGAGCCATGTGAGTTTGACGTAAGTGAGTATGCTGGTTAATCGAGTGGGCGTCTAACAGCCACGTATTATGACAGTTGGCGATTGGCGACTTCCACCGAGTGTCGCACAGAGGGGGCACAGCATCGATGGCTTGTGGATGAATTAGTTTACAGCGACGCAGACATAAACAGCATCTAACACACCCCCTCCTCCCTCACCGGTCACTTTCGATGTTGGGACAATGTCAAGGCGATCGGAGATCGGTTTGGGCGCAGTGGCTGGCAAAGCTAAACAGGCCGTCTACGCGGCCTGGTCTCCGCAGAATGTGCCGGACTTCCACAGAGGGTGTCAAGGTTATTTTAGTGAGGAGTGCGCTGACTTGCCTACGATTGATTTCCTGGTGTCCGCAACTTCCATCTCCCACGCTCCAGTCGACTGTCAGAATCCGTCAATCATCTGGCGATGAGATTGGGCATATTGGATGACAGAACTAGACAGCCCGTCAGCGTGTGGCATACACGACCTGGTCACCCAGTAATGTATCGGTATACATCAAACCATATGCGTGTTCTGACAAGTGGGGATGCGCCGGCCATACTAGCGACAACGAAACGAACCATATGCTTGCCTCCGGAAGGGGCTCCGCTTGCTGCGGGATGTGGCGTGTGGCGTAGAGGGGGTTCATCTGTGAGCTAGGGATGTGCGTGGAACGTGCAGTGCAAGGTGTGCTGATTGGGCCTGGAGTGCTGTTTTTCGAAGATTTTCACGGAATAGACATTTGTTCGAATAAATTCTTGTGCTGACCGAATGCCCAGGCCGGTCTGAGCAGATAGCAGCGGTGCGACGGAAGCATATCGGGTTTCCTGAAACCGATAAGAAGTAGAAACGATCACTGGAACAAAAGCTTCATTCGTCTGATGTGTTGGATTCACGATGGAACCCATGTGGCGGCTAAGCGGTGATGGTGTACGTTCAGTACGCCACAACTTAAGGCCATATCCCAAATTGTTAGAAGCAGGACGCCATTTGGTAAGGACACTTTATTCTGTACAGAATAGTGAAGGGGAAATTTGGCAACCGGAAGAGGATGCGTCCGGCGCCGCGGAGGCGGCGTCCGCGAGAGCGACAAGCCCTGTGTCGCCGAAGGTCGCCGCCGCAAAAGTTTCGCTGCAGATTGTTTACTCTATTGTTCCGGACTGTTCCCGCCTGTCTTACCAATCAGCGATAGGAGTTGCGTTGATTGGCTCCGAGGCCACGCGAAGGTTGTGACAAGCCTCGCGTAGTGCAGGCAGAGAATCGACCGAATGCGTGATGCAGACAGTTAATTGCAACGAGACAAATCGAGGCCGGGCAGACGTGCGTGCCATAGCAGGCGGTCGCTGGACGCAGGTGCAGGCGGTAGCGAGAGACGCGACGTAGCCATTATGGCTGTCCACTACACCCATAATCACAGGCAGTATCAGATACAGGTAATTCATTCTCAGGAATTTGCAGTATTTATAGGACGCAACCGCTATGCTACTGTATACTTATGCTAATTAACTGCTCCCCTCCTCATCGAGGATGGTTGCCCGCTGGTGCACTAACCGCTTGATGACCGGCATCCAAGTTGTTAATGGCTGAAACTTTGTCTCTTGTGTTAGTTGTTGGCGCAATAATTGCTAGGCCACCTGGCTCACCGACATGCGCGCCCCTTGATCGGCTAATTACTTTGACCAGACTAAGTCTCATCACCGGTTGTCGGGGGGGGGGGGGGATGTCACTGAATCTGTTGATAGACTGGGGCCCCATGAACCACACGGCCCGCGCGATTATCACCTCTCGCGAAAATTTCGGCCTCATCGAACTCGTCTCATCACCGGGTCTCGTTGAATGGGCCGCAACTTGAGAACTGACCTCATTTCTTCGCACTTCTGCCGCGTGCTTGGTGATTCGTGTCCGGAATAGTCTTACAGTTTCTCCTGAAACCTGTACACCAGTCTCGGTGCAAAGAATTCACAAATGCCTGAACAGACTTATACGCGATGCAAACGTGCGGTGGCAATAAGGACAATATGGGACTGCAACCAGCGAGCTGGCGGCGTGGTTATGTTGTTAGTGGTGGCGACGCTGGCATTGGCGGTGATGGACTTGCTAACGTCGGTGGTCCATGAGTTTTTCGGTGTAGGAGGTGGATTTGTCATGATGACATCCCGGTACTTTCCGCCGCCATGGACAATTATATGACCGATTAGAGGCATGCGGTGTATAAATGTTGTAAGGCATCAAGGGGGTGTAGGGGTGTCTAGTTGTGGGTTCACGTGACGATCGTAGAAGGTCATTCACTCGCTCGCAGGTGTAGACTGCGCCTAAGCTAATGCTCATCTGTGGCACATACGGTGGAGCCCGGCCGGTAAATTGTGCGTGAATTAGTCTATAGTAATAGTAGACTTGCGCTGCAACTACCACACTCCCTCCTCTCCACCTGAACCCTGTGTCAAGACATAGTTAAGAAGGCCGGAGGCTGGGGAGGACGCAGGTGATGGCACGATCGAACCCGCACCTTGACGCTCCACTCCACACCCCCTGGTCCACACAGAAAATGACCAAGTGTTTTAACCAACAACAACAATGGGGGCTGGCACGACCGAAGCCGCACCTAGGCGTGCCGTCACACCCGCCTCGGATTCCACGGAGTGAGAGTGCCATAAAGGCCACATTAAGAAGAAGCCATTTCAGCCGGACTCCTTGACTACCATCCGGTCGCTCCACACACAAGCCCACAACAATGGGCCGACTGCGAGGTCCAAGTTATCGCGTCGGATGACAACCTTCTAAGCCAGGGCTTTTAACGCACCGAGATAGCTTCAAGCGCGTCAGATTGTTTATAGTGATGAAAATTCGCTGAGTCGTCGACCTCGCTCTCCCTTCTCATTACCAGGCCCCAGCTACTGTCCGAGCCGGTCACTTGACTGGTACGGGGAATGGGCGCGGTGACTGGCATATCTAGTGACCGTGCCTGCGCGCGTCACATGCAAGACCAAGTCCCCCAAACACACACAGACACACCAGGATTTCACACGACGGGAGTTGAGAGGCGTACATCTCATATGCGTGAGAGTGCCAGATGTCACGTTGAGAAGGAGGTATGACGGCTTAGCTCTCAGTCCACCAGTCCGGTGGTAGTTGGGTGCTTGCAATGCCTGATATTGCTGCGTGGTGCAGGTGCTGGTGAGGGAGGGCGTGATGGCCGTCAGTTGTCTTCCGTAGGTTTTCATGAACGCGCATGTGGCCTAATAGGCCCATGCGGTGAGTGAAGGTGCGAGGGCAGTGTGGACAGCGGAAGTGACTGCGCCGAGTGTAGGTTGGTGCTCCAGGCACTGATTCGCCCGTCTCTGTGCGATGGATTCGCAAGTAACCGACCAGGCGATGTGTGAGATGCGGTCGCAATGAGGACACGTATAGACCGAGTCCACATCGCTAGTGTTTACGGTGTGTCGGTTGATGTTAGTTAGTGCGTATGGATTGAGTACAGGAGTGGTGGGTACATCAGCTGCTGCAGCAGATTACGAAGCGATGGAGGAGGAGCATAGTAGTGGGTTTCGGGAGTGCGTTCAGTGTTAGTTGCCAGTGTGGGAACAAGGCTTTTGTCAGATCCACGAATGTAGAGAACAGGTGGGTACGCATCCCCTGACACTTCTCCTGCAGTTAACGGGTGTTGAAGGTCATGTCGGTGGTGCTGTGATGACGGCGGAGACCGCACTGGCTTTCTGGCAGGAGACCATGTTCCAGATGGTTGTTCAGGCGATTAAGAAGGATGCAAACGAAGGTCTTCCTGGCGATGTTCAGTAGAGAAATACCTCGTTGGTTGTCGCAGATTTGGCGGTTCCCTTTGCGCTTGTAGAGATAGATGATTGTGGCGTCCTTAAAATCCTGCGGGACTTCTCCTTGACGCCACATCTCCTGGAAGAGCGCCATCAGTTGACCCATGAGTTGGCGACCACCGTGCTTGTAGATTTCAGCTGGGATCGCGTCTGATCCGGACGTTTTCCCGGTAGAGAGATGAGGCACGCCCCTGATGGTTTCGTGGAGGGAGGGCAGGAGGTCGAGGTCGGCGTTGGTCTCCACTTGTGGCAGTCGATGGCGGCGTTGGAGATGGTAGAGGGGATGGTTGAGGACGCCTCTAAAGTGTTCGGCCCATCGCTGTAGGATTTGTTTGTTATCGGTGAGTAGGGTACATCAGTCTGCGCTAAGAGGAGGAGCGGTTGGCTTGGTTGACGCATCGTAGACAGACTTGATCGCGGTGAAGAAGTTCTTCCAATTGCTGCTGTTTGTGTAGACTTGGATCTCCCCAGCCTTGCGAGCCGTCCAGGCGTCCTATATCTTATGCAGTCGCTGTTGCAAAAGACGGCGCCTTTGGTGAAAGGCTGCTTTGTTGTCGTCGGTGAGGCGAGTTACTTAGGCTTTGTGCAGACGGTTCTTCTCGGCGAGCAGGTCGCTGATAGTGGCGTCGTTGTCATCGAACCAGTCTTGGTGTTGGCAACGTGAGCGACCGAGGACAGTCAGGGCCGTCGGTTGGACTTTGTCTCGGAGTTTGCACCATCGGTTCTCAACGGAGGCGGTCGAGTCAGCGGAGTGGTGGCGACTGGAAGGTTGACTAGCCGCTGAGCTAGCTCATTCCTGAAGTGGAGATGGTGAGCAGGCAAAGACAACAAAACAATATCCAGCTTACCTGGGGGTCGCTTACCTTGAGGTCTTTAGCGAGGCTGTAGGCGATTCCGCATTTTGGAGATGACGAAACGATGGTCGGTGCGTCCGTTAACATCCGGAATCGCCTCTGTCAACAGAAGGTTCCACTGGTCTCGCCTCCGGACGAGAACATAGTCCAGAAGGCGCCAGTATTGCGACCAAGGGTACATTCAGGTCGCCATCGCCCACGTCAGACGGCGGAAGTAGACGTTGGCCAGGATGAGTCGGTGTTCATCGCAGGTTCGTAGGAGGAGCAGGACATTGTCGTTGAAGCCACCGAGAGCATGAGGACCCAGTAATCCTCTCCAGGCAGCATGGTCTGTGCCGACGCGGGCGTTGAAGCCACCAAGAACAATTGACTTATCCGCCTTCGGCACAGTCGCCATGAGGGCGTGCAGGTCCTCGTAGAATTTGTTCCTCACCTCGTCACGGCTGGCCATCGGCGGGGCGTAGGCCTTGACGATTGTGACAAATCCGGATCCTTGGAAAGACAGACGGAGACTCATCAATCGGTCGTTGGTGCCCTGCGACAGACAGAGCAGCCGTCCCACGATGTCGTTCCGGATGACAAAGGCGACGCCCACATCCCATCGCTCCGCCCTGCGGCGACCGCTCCAGAATAAGGTGTAGCCGGCGCCAACCTCCTCTAATTGGCCTTGTCCAGGGAAGCGGATCTCGCTAAGTACAGCGATGTCCACCTTGTAGCGCGCCAGTTCACGAGCCACTAATGCCGTCCTTTGTTACACTCGGTTGTTCCTAGGATTATCGAACTGTCGTGTGCAGATAGATTTAGCAGAACAACCCTGAGTTCACTATAAGGACAAACATCAATAAGCAGACAAAAGCAAGCAGGAAAGACCGACAAAAGGCATAGGCGAGAGAGGAGATTCAACAGAACGGCATTTATTTTTCAACAAGAACAAACACAAACAAGCAAGCAAATAGCAGGCCAGCAGAGCGATGCTCGCTTATCTGGGGGCTCACGTACCTTGTGGTCTCCCTCAGTGTTGCAGATGGAGTCTCGTCTCGGAGATGCCGAGGCGGTAGTCCATCCGGCCAGTGGAGCCGAGTTACCGTGTGCGAAGATGCACACACGGATACCCTCACCTGGTTTGGCTCACCGATCGAGGCGGTTATCGGGGTGTGGGCTGCTAGGCAGAGGGCATCTTCGAAAAGCCACATGCGAGGGTGAGGTGACAGTTAGTGAATGCTAGGCGTAGTCAAAACCTGCAAACAAGTAGGCGGCCTACTACGACCATCACGTGGATCCAAAGCTGGACGCCACTTCACCCCTTAAGACCACACAATATCTACTCGAATAACATCGCAACTGTCGGTTTAATAATACTCCCCGTTAAGCACAAAACGTAGTCCCCGTCCGTTGCAACATTTTATGAGCCCATAAGGTATTCGCATGATGGCATAAAGAAACTCATGTTCTTATTTTCGTGGAGAGAATGTAACTTGTAGACTTAAAAACTTAAACAAAAGTGCTACAACAAATTGAGTTCAAAATAATTCGAGAACAGAAAAACTTTTAAATCCAAAATATATCCATTCTTTAAGCATAAAATTGTCAGAAGACATGATTTGTTAGCAAATTATTATCCAAAATAATATTTTCGGTTGTTTTCTGGAAAATATATTTGACATAGGCCTTAGACGCGGCCACATCTAGTCATTTTTTTGCCAATTGCCTACGAATTTCGCATAAATATTAACTCCAATAGGTGGGTTTCCGTTTAGTGTTAGAGTTAGGGTTTAGGTAATGGTTTAGAGCTACGGTTAGGGATTTAGGGTTTAGTGTTAGTGTTTTGAGTTAAGGTTTAGGGTTAGGATTTAGAGTCACGGTTTAGGGTTTGGATCCAGCGTTAGAGTCTGCGATTACGATTTGGAGTAATGCTTTAGGGTTATCATTTAAGGTTAAGGTTTGTCTGATAGGGCCGCGTTTTAGGCCTATAACATATACTTAAATTTACATAGGCGTTGAAAATCGACAAAGAAACGTGTCCTAATTGAGCAGTCATTTTTGCCGACTGGGGTTTTTTGAGCGGTCGAATAGAAACGCATTCAAAAGCCAACACTTTGAAGTGTCTGAAATATCACGGGATTGCATCTAAAGATAGCCAATATTACAGTCCCACTTAATTAATTCTTCCCAATCGAAAACGCACTTCAGCTTTCCATTTTAAAATTTCATAAAATCAGCCGAGGACTGTACACCAACCCACTTGTGAGAAGGACGTTGTTGTTAAACGTGAATTTCAGATCAGTCAGCACCTTCCTCTATGAGTACTACTATGGATCGCGATTCTTTACTGGTTGCCATTTTTCGCTCCTATGTTGATCCAAGATATGGACGTGCTGTTAACTATCAATTTTGACGGCTATTCTATACACACGCTGGAAAGCAGGGCTCCGGGTTTTTTGGGATCTAACACTTTTCGATAAACGAACTGCATGACAAGGAATCGAAACTATGGGTAGCTGATATGAATCCCAACGGCTCATATCCAAAACTCACGTCGAACGCCTATAGGACATGGATTACTGATTTAACAGATAACACAGGACTAACCAATTCAGACCTGTATGTAATTTCCAGGATCACTCTGTAAATAGCAATAGTTATTCATCATATGTCTGTCGATGACGGCGCTTTAACGCCCTCTTCTGACCCGCGGTAGGTATGCATAGTTAACGCTACTCCGGGTGAGCGCAAGTAATCCTAATCATAGTTGACTCGAGGGGTCCAATGGCATACGTTAAAGGGCGTTTTTACTCAAGTGGGCGCTGACCAATTCTTTCTTGTCGTTACCGCTCACAGTTGTCCATCTAGTAATCTTTTCTACTAGGTGGCATATTTCGAAGATAATTTTGTTAGTTGGACAATTTAGGCTTCCCGTAAAACCATATTTTTTAGAGCGAAACAAACGTTCCAGTAGAGAAGCACATAAACTGAGTCTAATAGCGCTGTCAAAAGATGTTTACAGCGACTATAGGATTTTATTCGCAATTTTAATAAACCTTAACATTCACTTAAAATAACAAACTGCTAATAAGCAAGAAAGGAAAAACAGTACGCCCTCATTAGCCTCCCTATTCTGCCACAATGTCTGCGGAAGACCATCAGAATTTATTTGTCCCCTAGTCCCATTTTTCGATTTTTTTGAGAAAAGACAGAAAGCGCAGCATGTGGGCAGAGCAGAACTGCCGACAAAGACAAGGGAGACTGAAACGATAATTTCCTGGCTTATTAGGCGTCATCAGTCAGCCATACGCAGTCCCGGGTTTCGGAATCTCCGAGGGCCGACTTCACGACTTGCTAGTCAGGAGCACAAAGCCTTAACAACCGAGAAACGGGCTTGTTGTCATGTCGCACATAGCATCTTAATCGTATTCGATAGGTGATAGGAAGCAAATCCTCTGATCACCAAATGCACTCAGTATTTTGAGTAAAACGAAAATTAAATATAGCTGCACATCAATATTAACGCCTGATTACTTGAAGATAATAAAATATTAAATATTTAAGCAATTTACATTATGCATACATTGGTATATAACTCTCAGTTTGGGCCCTTCGAGTGCAACCTGCATATTCCATTGCGCACAAAATTTAATTAACTTCCGACACTCTCCGAAAGTGTATGCAAAATATGGTAGTAATTCACTTTTGTCTGCATAATTTAATTGCTTGTGCATTAAAGCCTGGCTTTTGGAACAAAAATATCAAATGTAATTAATCCTCCGACAGTGATTTGACCTCCGCCTTCGAATGCAATCAGCTTTTTAAAAAATACCTCATCATTTTTGCGTGTACGCTCCTGTGGGAATACGTGCTGCCTATCAGCTGGCGGCTGGAATTGAGTTACTTACAGATGAAAGAATTTAAAGGCTTTTACCTGAAAACAATCTGAAGTCCAGAATTTGCTTACCCTGCTTGTAAATGCCCGAAAAGTTCAGTGAACGCACGAGGTCACACGTGGCCTCTGAGAAAATAAACCAAGAAAGTTGCTTCAAAGGCAGTGGTTGTAGCTAAGTACGCAGGAGAATTACAGGTAGTATATCAGTGCCAAACTCGAATTTTCTAGTGTCTACCTAAAGTAAAAAGACATATTTTTGTCATGCTTTTCCTCATATCTTGTAGCAAAATTATGCTCATCCGACCTTAATTGCATTCAAAGGATTATTCGATTCGTTTCATTTAAAATTCCCTGTAAATCCCCACACGGCATGGCTCAATTCTACGAGGATATTTAAAATATGAACCAAGTGAAAAAATTTCCCAGTTTTATATTTCTTACCTCCTTCCCAGGATGGTTCCCGTCATTTGAATTTATGCCAGTTAGCAGATCCTAACGATTGTTCAAAAGAAACAAAGTTTGCAACTTTATTATCGATGAACTTCATTTATTCAGATAGCTTCAGCAGCTTTGGTGAATACGTAAATGCAAAAATCGAGTGTAAAAAGACAAAGCTTACTGGAACTCTCTAATGATCCAGATGTTTGGGCAAACAAGTGAGTCTTGTTTATACTTCGGTAAACGCTTAAAAATGCAGATTTATTAAAACCAAATGAAGTACTACCTAAAACGCCCCCTTCCGATAAAGAGGACAAAGGTATATGTAGTAGATAAATCTAGTGAAAAAGTGTTGTTTTACTCATTTCCATGACTTTATGTTTCCTTAGAAAATTGTAGAACGTTCGAACTCATGCATTCCATTTAACAGCTCGTCCGATGCCCCTGATTAGGTTCATTGTTGTAGGCCGAGGTGCATATGTGTATTTCGACAACAATTAGGTCTGAACGTAAGAGAGGGGTTCATGGCTTTCAGTGCCTTAGAAGACGCCAGATTTTGCCGCCTTAGTGAGATAGGACCGCTTTAGTGGAGTGCAGAGGAAGAAGAAGGCGAAGATGGGGATGATGCCCTTAATTTGACACAATCTTACCTCTGAAAAAAAGTTCGTACAAAATCGTCATTTCATCTAAAAACTCGAAAGCGTTTTCAATGTTTATCCAGTTTATCACGTGAGATATTCCCCCTAGTGCTGGTAAAGTAACAAAGACGTGGTTTTTTGTATTTCCATGCTTTTGCATGTAGATTGACGTGAGCGTTGGCAGGGGCGACGAAACAAAGTCCACCGAAGTTCAAAGGAATATTTTGTAGGATCATTCCCGTCAGATCAGTTTGTTCCACTGACAAAAGTGCAGAGCACAGAATGCGATCGGCCACTTTTATGACAAATTGTGCCTTTAAATGGCCTAGTAGCAAAACATATTTAGACAAATTCCTAGCAGCATACGACGTTCCAGTGATATTCTTAGTATGTTATGTAAAAATGACGAACCAGAAACATAAGTCGAGAGGAAGAGGGAGGATGCAAGCTTCACTAGGGAACCAGACCAAGTGTTGAAAACGGAATTAAAAGGTCTTTTCGAATACTTAACACGGACCTGGGAAACTAAATGAAATTGATTTACTTATAATTTAACCGGGAAATTAGGAAAGCGCATTGATAGTCGGAAGTTTAAATAAGTCTACATCAGGGAGACCACTTCCAGTAGGTGTTCTGTAAAAGGAATAAACATTTCGTACCAAATTTAACATGTTGAAATCAGCATGAAAGTTGCGTGCCTAGAAGAATTTTATTTTGCTTTCTTTCATGCTCGTTTATCCTATTGTAGATAAGTTATGTCTCGTGGGGGTTCAAAAATTTTTATCTCTAAAGTACAGTTTTTCCTCTGCCGGTAAATCGGGTGACACGGCAACAATTGGGTCTTTATAAGATTTAACGTTGTCAAACGTTCTTTGAACGGCCTGAGATGCTATATTCTACTAGACTGATTGCCAAAACTTCGTCCTTCTGTCGATCGGGCAACTTTCTCAGAAGAAGTATAACGTAAATATGCTGATAATTCCCCAGCGGTCTCATATTGGGAGCAATATTTCGCAAACAAAATAAATTAGCAAGAAACTACTCTGTTTCTTAGATAATTGGGAATAATTGACTGATCCGTTTGACGCCCAGGATGACACGAACTTAATCCTTTTCAAGATGTGGACTTATGGGCGAAATTCACCTGGAAATGCTGGTACCCAGGGCCGACTCTCCGAAAAACAATATTTATTCGCCATATGTGCACTAAGTACATGCGCAAGTTACGATAGAAGCTTTT